GTATAAGTGTTTACCCTAACAAAGTGATCATTCATACATGAAACTATAAAATGAAGGTATTTACATAGGCCATAATTGGAGTATGTAGCATAGTATGTGTTAAATATCTTTTTTTATTGAGCTTGTTTTTGGTGACCGTAAGATAATTGATTCACGATATTATCAATTACAACTTAAGAATACAGTAATATGGATTTTAATTCCTTTAATGAATCGCACTTAATTGCAATTGCACTACTATTTATATTTATAAAATTGAATTTGAATTAAATATACTAGTACAAGATTTTGTTTAATTATAAATTATAATTGAAAATTATTTTATTCTTTTTTTTTTTTTGATTAGTTTCAACTTGAATTGAGCTTTATTTGCTCTTCATATGTTCATTTTGAAATAGTTGTGTTCATTTAGGGGTTTTGGGTAGCTAAATATTAATACACCAATAACTTTTCTGTGTGTCTAATCACACCGTGTGATAGGGGTTATTTGTATGAGTTTCTTATTTAGGGATTACTTGTAGTGGTTACTTACTCAGGAGAGGGGTTACTTGCAGGGGTAACTTACTCAGTCGGTTAATGAGTTTTCTGTGTGAGAGTATCCCATGGTTGATTAAGTAACCCATGAATAAGTAACCCTTATAAGAGCAACTCTAATGGTTGGGAAAAAGGGACTAGCTTGCAAATATTAAAAATCTTAAACTAGTAGCTACACCATTGTTGCACATCTTGTTGATTAGCTTTGGCAAGCAAATTAGCTTTGTAGAGCTAATTAGCTTAGCAAATATTTATTGCTAAACAATATTATTAATTTAAAAATAAATTAATTTACAACTAGCTTAACCATTGGAGCAACAAATAGCTTGAATTGTTGTAGCTTAAGAAGATGATGTGGTATGCCAAGCTATTAAATAAATTAGCCAACATTATAGTTGCTCAAATTTACCCCTTACCAAACGATTAACTCCTGAATAAGTAACCCTTAACCATAACCCTTAACCATAAGTATTGCCTACAAATAACCGCTAATCATAAAAGTAACCTCTGCCACATATAAATTTTTTTTGTTAATACACTCATCTATCACTCGGAACGAGTTGAATATTTGGGTGTATTATAGACAGAATAGAAAACTACTTTGATGGAATACAGGGTGATTCAAAAGAAGTGGGCATACGCGTAAATAGTAATAGTGGCAAATGTGACATAAGTCATTTTCATTGCCTTTTCTTTCCAATAAAACTTAGCCTTGAGAATCAAAATTGCACCATCAAGATTAGAGACCACGTCAGAGTATCTTATCCTAACAACACCCATTGTTTTCCAATCAAAGTGCTCCATGTAGATCTCTTAAACAATGTAGGATAGACAGGATACATCTATATCCTAACCGCTCCCAACACTAACACTTTCCCGTTCCGTTTCTAAAAAACGTGCAACGCTTTAATGAACACCGTTGTCAATATACATCTACGTATATAATTAACAAAATTAATAAAAGTCAATATTATAAAACCATAATAAAACAACTTCTACAACATGCATGCCCCCCCTTTTTTAATACTGTATTACCCATGTTAATGTTCAAGAGTAGAAGAGGAAGATAAGATAACTCCTTCGATCTAAACATATAGCAAGGCGAATTTTCCACCATCTTTACTTGTCGACTAAACATACTTGGTTATACTACTCGTAAGTCGTAACATATAATATGTGTTGGACATAAAATTTAGTTGATCATATGACCAAGCGGGTCCGAAATCAGGCTAAAAGCGGGCCATTTAGGTCATATTTGGTGGTGGATATTTCCAAAAATGTTGGTTTACACCTTTGTGTTCCATCTGGTAGATTGTGATAAATTATGGGAATACTATTGAAGGTATTGATGTGCTCCAACATAATTTTGTAAATAAGTCTCTTGTCTATGCTCCAAGTAAGCGAACATGATCTCAAACAAGTGTTTCTATCCAAATACTTAATTTCTACAATTGGCATGCATAAAGGCTGTTGAAGAGAAAAATTGACCACTTTATATATGCACATATGGTAATGGTCAAAATAAGAACATAATATTTCATAATCCGTAATTTTTATGTCACTAAGTTAATGATATTATTTATCATTAAAATTAAGCAGCTCATTGCTTTTTCGATAGATGATTGAAAAATTAAATGGCTCTTTGCTAAGAATAGTTACTGAAAATTACCGTCCGCGGCATAAGACCAAACCTAGTTCATTATATTTTTGAGTGTAGTTCAAGTACTATTTCGAATACTATTTCGAATCATTCATGTTTAACTTAGGTTGAATTTCAAATGACCTAGTCTATTTTTAAGAGTATGATTGGTTGATTAACGCCATACTCCAATCAAAGCAATCCTTTCAATTAACCTCAAATTGCTTAAAATAACTTTTATTTAAGGCAAAAGGGGTTTATATCTAGGCACATTATTGCAACCATGGGATAACTAGAGATTAAAGCACTAACAAAGAAACAAAAATCAAGTGATAAATCTCATGATAGTAGGGCATGAAAGAAAATAACACTAGATAGAGTTAGGTAAGAAACTAAGAATACTACAAAAACAATGATAATTTGTGGAAATCTCTTTTTGATTAGCATCCCAATTAAGATTAGACTAAGAAAGAAGATAATATAAAATAAAAATTAAAAATTAAAAAAAGAGCAAAAGAAATGAGTTGGTTAAGACCAAAAAGTAGTGAACAAGAAGAAAAGTTGTCAAAGTTAAGTATAATTATATAGAAATGAAAATCCTTTAAGCACTATCACTAGTAAGACTTTAAAAGATGAAGATCTTGTGTTTCTCTTTTTGGGGAAATTACGCTTCATTCCAGATTGAGACCCTAGAAAGTGACTTCTCTCTTTAAATTGAATGTTATTATAATTATTAATTATTTCAATTATTTTATTAATTATTAATAATCTTGGTGGAACATCTGGATATACTTGCGGGAAAAATCATTACTTTTTTTTTTAATTTTTTTTTTTTTTTTGAGGCCGGGAAAAATCATTACTAGGCAACCTATAAATGGTTGTTCAACTTGCACCAAAAAACTAAATTAATGAATGCGATGAATGTTTATTTTGCTAAAAAAATTATGAAGGAAAGTAGAAGAGAATTAACTTAATCGAGTATATGTCAAGAATATGTCATGTATGATCGAGTGAGCCTTATAATGTTAAGAAAAAACCTATTTAATAATCGAACGCTTGAGTTAATATGAAGTATGAGGTAAACAAAGGATTAAATTTATTATGATTCAAGACCTCAAAAATTAGGTTATTGTTGAGTGTTTGTAAGAATTGACAATGTAATATGTTTTATAGGGATGATTTAGGTGGGTTGTCTTGAGATTTAGTCAAAGATTGACATTAGGGTATTTTAGTGTTTCCACCAAGGACAATATGACAAATTTACCTTATGCAAATCCTATTTACAATACCATATCTTCTATTTTTACTCAATTAAGTTACGTTGTTATTTTTTCGTATTACAATCTCATTAACTTAGAGCATGACCAATGGATGACCAAATTAAAACGCTTAGGTCATAAATATATAGCTCAAGATAATATAGGATTCTCAAGCTTGGGGTTTTGCAAAGGATCTTGACTTTTGCTTTAATAAGGTAGCAGCACACATATAGTTTATTGACCTCTAACACTTGCTTAGTTAAGAATGCCAAGCATCACTTTATATTTATTCTCATATCAAAAGAGGTGCAATTGTGGCATACATGTTGCAATGGTGATGTTAGGGAGCAAGGTGAAATCAAGGAACTGAGGATCGCCTGAGAATGGCGTAGGAAAGATGGTCATATATTGCTCAAGCCTTAAACTAAGTCGTAGAATGCTGAAAATAATACTTTCTCCGTTACAAATTACTTGCAACAAAGGGGTATTTTTTGTGAGACATAAAATATTCCTTTGTTACGAGTAATATGCGACGGAGGGAGTAATTTGATAAGGTAGCACAAATACAAGATGAAGGATTGAAGGGCATTTTAGTTGCATTGTGTATGCAATTATATTTTCTTGAGGGAAAATGTTAGGTTGGAAGAGAAAGGCATCAAATTGTGCTTACGTATTAGAAGCAAGTTTAGTACTTCATTTTACGAGGTAAACATTATATGACTTTAACACATGGAAAATGTAAAAACACAAATTCTTTGTTATTTGTTATTGTCTCTATTGCCTATTTGTCCTATCAATTGAGTATGATGCAGTGATGCTTGCCACCTTTGGACATTGGTCACCTGGTATCGGATCGTCAAGAAGAATTCCGGCTTAAAATTCTTAGTTATTTCCGAGTACACAAAGAGCTAAGCATACCCAAGGAAAAAAAAATCATACTATTCATCTGGTTTGAATGAGCAGCAGAATAGGCCCAAATGAGCAACTTATACAACAGGTAAACTTTTCAAGTCATTCTTCATTCTCATCCATTCTTCTTGATGGCAATGGAGTCTGTTTCATGGCAAATTCTACAGACTGTTTTGGTCCAAACTTGTGGGTGAAATAGTTTGTTTACTTCAAGTGAAGCATATATATGTTCAATACTCAAATTTACGTTATAATTTGCTTACTTTTTCAAGTTCAAAACTTAAAATTACACCATCAGCCTAGTTCATATAAGTACACTCAAATATCTCACCAAATGAACATCGATTTCGTGGTTACCGTGTTACCTGGAGAGTAGAATAGATAGCTATAGAGCACTTAAAAAATAATATCACAAGCTTTAATCTCACAAGTCGGGTGATTAGAGAGCTAGAGAACTATCACCTACACGGCTAGACCTGCGCTCCAATAATCGCCACGCCAAAAAGAACACACCATTCTTGCACTCATCATCATCATATCCTTTTTCATTCATGAAGTATGCTGAATAGCCTGTATGCAGAGACATACAGACATACAGTTCAGTCCTGCTAGCACAGTTACAAAGACATCTAAGGAAATTACAAAAAAAATAAAAGAGCACAGAAAAAATATATCAGCATCAGAAGCTTGCATATATATTATCGAGATAGCAGACAAGACTAGTAACCCCGATATGTTACTGTAGAAGGCGGATACCTATTTAAATTAAGCAGAGCTAACACTGAAATAAAAGCCACAATTTGTCATTTCCCAACCTATTAATTCATCATTATCATCCCAACTAATAACCCACTTTACAAAAAAAGCTATAGTAATCCGAAAAGCAAAGCAAAGCAAAGCAAAATCTGCAATAGCATCTTCAAATCGAAGGCCCATCCACCACCAGCTACATTTATTATTCTTCATCCTCGTCATCATCTTGCTCATCATCGTCGTCGTCAGAGCCTTCTTTACCCTATCACATTTAAGAAAAAAAGTCAATTTCACAACATTGTCTAGATTTTCACAGTATGCATTATATTATTGATTGTACCCTGCTGTGTAATTCTTTACCCTTCACCCTCTAAAGCCAAGAACACTTAGCATATTAATGTCTATCCATCGCAGTTTATACACACACGGAGAGAGAGGGGAGTGGGGGAGGCAGCCCTGTATAAGTGAGACAAAAGCTTTGTAGGTGTGATTCCAATATTAGGCTTTTGAGATAGAATTCGATCACGGTGGTCAAGGGTTCTATATCTGAAACCAGAGTACACACTCCACAATAGTACAAATTCAACCCTTTTCAGTTTACGACTGGGTTAGAACTTACGAAGTAGAAGGTTTATTTAGGTGATTAGTGTGAGAGGAAGGTGAAAGATGGTTAAAGTGGATAGAGTACATAAATGATAAGGGTTGACAGTAATCAACTAATCATGGAGATGTTGACTTGTATTAAGGGGATTCTTATGTCTTGGTAAATAAACAAGTGAGAAACTAATTTGGGGTAAATCAATCAGTGAGAAACAATTTAGGGATTTAGAGTAAAATAATCAGTGAGACAATTTAGGAATTTAAGGTAAATTATTTCTTGAGAGGAAGGTGGAAGATGGTTACGGTGAATCGAGCACAAACATTATAGGGTTGACAGTATAATCAGGGAGTTCCGGAGTTGTCGACTTGTTATTAAGGGGATTCTTATTTCTTGGTAAATTAATCATTAAGAAAGAATTAAGGAATTCAAGGTATTTATTTGTCTTCTTCTCTTTTATCCCTTTCCTATTGACAATAGTCACCAAACATGTACATTGGTGAATCTAATTTGTCAACAAAATATTAGTCCCCTGATTCATCACCCAAATTTCTTGCTTCTAAATGATGTAACTAAACATAGAATGCACAGCCAAAAGTAACATAATTAACAACTCATGGCATGTAAGCTCTGGAATAATAAATGACAAAACCACACTATGTTTGGTTTGATTATGGAATAGAGGATTTTTTTTCCTTTTATTTGATTTGATTTGATACCTAAATATACTGGTATGAGCCAAACACCCCCCCCCCTCCCCAAAGGTTTCTAAAGAGGTATGGGTTGAAAAAATCATAAAATAAAATTAAGTATGGGTTTGAAACTCTTAAAATCACCACACAATTTATGGTATGAGTTTAAACCATTCTAAACCCATACTTCTTCATACCTAAATCCTATGAACCAAACACCCTCTCAATGAATGATAATAAAGAAGATAGCTTTGGCTGGGTCAAGTACAATATGGAATGTGAACAATTTTGGGTCTAGGAGTAAGATAGGCGCGCTTTGGGTGCGCTTCTTTGACGTGAGGCATACAATATAAAACAAGTTAAAAAATCTGTCTATGTGCGCCTCAGGTGCACCTCATGCGCCTCGCCTTAAGCAAAAAAGGTATTCTACCCTAATTGCCTAGAGTCTAAGCGGCTAGGCACGCCATTTTATACACTGAATATTGTACACCTTATCACGCTCATGCAACCATCATAAGCTATATTTCTACAGCTGAGCAAGAATTCAATGAAGAACATGAATAAAATTAAATGTCATAATTTACCTCTTCGTCATCATCTTCAGCCTCAAAATCTTCTTCATCAGCCTCCTATAGTATAAATCAAATCGCACATTTTAAGTCATGATATGTACAAACATCATCAAATTTAGCCTAAAAATAACAAAACTAAAACATAATGAAGGTTAAAATATTACATTGTTGAAGTACGTGAGAGGGTTAGGCCATAGGTCCTCCTTGATAATTTCAGCGACCTGCATATGTACCATCTAACTATCATAAGTTGCCAGTTCCAAAAGAGAGAAGCTACTGATATATTTCAATTATTCTGGGCAAACTGATAAAAAAAGGCCACCAAAATAACCCCGTTACCTCGTCATGGATGTCATCATCAGTTTGCTGAGTTTCACTGAACCAGCTGAAGAAGCTGCAAAGGTATGAAAAAAAATCAAAGTGAACTTTTAAAAACATAGTTTCACCAAGGCCAATTTAGTGATCATACACTGATACACCCAAGACTAAACAGTTATTATAAAGCACCAAAAGGAGTGTGAATCCCTCCCAACTAAATAGCCAAGGAAGCATCAAACTAGACCCATCAATCAAAACACAATCAAGTTCAAATAGGGGTATAGAAAATTAATATTGCCTCATGAAGAATGGGGATCAAACCATAAAAAGATCAGCTTATTGAGCCAAGCCAAGCCAAGCAGACTGCTTGAGTGACTTGGGTAGACCACTTCTCAAAGCAAAAAATTCCTCCTTGACCTTAATCCACCATCTTGATCATAAATGTTTCATCAATGGGATTTTTCCATTTACCAAGTCAAGACTCTATCATTGCACTTAAGACCATCCACACAGTCACACAGATGCTTAGACACACAGACATCACTTAAGAGACTAATCCCCCAAACCACGTCTACCACTCTTAATGGCTCAACCAGTAACAATCTAAGAAAACCAGAAAGCTGGAGTAGTAAAGCCACAAGTGTCCTGCTCAACAGAAAAGACAGGCAGAATACAACTAAAAGGCTAGTTTAAGAGTACAGCTGAAGGTCATATAACGAAAATCTACCTTTCCTCAATATGGGCTCTTTTGTTCCCTTTCTTGTCATTGTCTACACCATTTGGGATTCCCTGCACATATTTTTCACAACAAAGTTAATTATCAAGTCAGAGGCATACTAAGCAGTGAAGCGCCTTTAGAAGAAAGATGAAAAAAGGACATTACCATGCCTTCTTTCCACTTAATGGAAGTTGCAGTCACTTTAGTAGTCCCTTCATCAAGAAATGTGAATGTTTTGGTAAGCTTTGTATCTTCAAAATAAGGATTGGGGCTGAAATTCTGGATGCAACACAGAAGATATTACAGATGTTAGTTACTTTCCATAATGAGATGAGATTTATGGATATAATCTAGAAGTCAGACATTATGCAATCAACGCCACATTTAATACATGATTCACAAGTACTTACAAAGGTGATGGAGTATCCTGATTTCACATCTTTAGAATCTTCTACATCGATAGAAGTTAGATGCTTGAAAACCTATCAGCAGAATGAAGTGAATTGAAATGAACAACTCTACAAAATTTCAAAAAAGAAACTGAGATCCTTAAGAGACCTCAATGATCCTCATCTTTTTATTTGCCTTTGAAGTATCTAAACATGTTAAAATTTCCAGAAAGTTATATGATAATAGGTACCTTGTGATCTTCTTCAGTCACTAGCTCACTTAGAGCTGGATGACTAAGAAACTGCACCAGCATATAAAATAAGTTAGCATTAGATATAAATTATAAAGTAATGATTAGAAAGGGTTTTTTCAAGGCAAAATTCTGGAAATTATACAAAAAATAAATAAATTAGAGGTCTAAAAAAGACTTAAAAAAGTAGAGTACTTACAGCAGTCAACCAAAAGTCTGGAATGGACTTTATGATTTCATTTCTCTTATCATAAACTGGCTTTCGAACCTCATTGTACCTCTTCTCCACTTCTAATACTTCATCACTAGCTTTCTCATTGATCTGGAAAAATAAATACAAGCATCTTTCTTTATAAGGTTTCCATAACACCACTCATATCAATCAATAACATCAAAAACGACAATTTTTTTTAACTGTTGCTGGCGTAGGCCACGTGATGGCTGATGCTCACATATGACCAAATTGTTATTGTGAGTTAATAAATGCATATTCAATCATGTAGATTTCTCTACTCACGCTTTAGTAACATTAATTTAGCAGTATACTCTGCAAACTAACTATGTAGCACTTGTTCAAATCTTACTATCTGAGATTCTGAGGAAAGTATGTGAGGAATTAGCTTCTTGTTTTGAGACCATATTGATGGAATACATATCTCTGAAAAGACCACAGTATTCGCTGCTGCTCCGAGATCACAGCCAAAAGTTTTAAATTTACCAACTACAAAGCACCAGTTCAGAATATAGAACCTCAATTGGTGGGTGCTTAGAAAGGTAGCGTGTAGCCTACCTCTCAGTGATCTACACTAAAATGGGATTCTTTCACTGTTACACATCGGAACAATGATCGAAGACATCGAAACAGAACATTTTCCTATAAGTTAAAAGAGCATTAAAAAGACATATATCTATTATTGCAAAACCGAATAAAAAGGATACAAAAGTATAAATATATTGACCCCTCCAGCTTGACACATTTATGACTCTTTGGAATATCATAGTATCCCAATAACTCAAATATTAATCATGAACATAAAATAAATGAATGCATGCTTCCATGAAACAAAGATAACAATTCAGAATATTAATTCATGGTCATCCTACTCATATAGTCCCCCAATCCAACCCAAATTCAAATTCACTAACTAATTAATCAATCATAATCAATTAATCAATTGATTCACAAATTTTCTTAAAAAAAATAATAATAAATCAAAATTCCAACCCTGTCACGAATCGAATCATTTCCTATGTGTATAAATTCAAATTCCACATAAACATCATCAAACAAATTGTCCTGTTTAAGCAAACAAAACGATTATACAGATAATAAGTAGTTAATTTGCGCACAAATTCCACATAAATCAAGCCAATTAAACTTCCAAACAATTCACATGCACACAAAAATCAGCTAATCATAAATACCCATCAACAGAAAACAAAACCCCATCAAAATTCCAAGCAAAAACCAGAACAAAAACACATATTTAAACAAAAATGACATAATTAATTAATTACACAAAACCCACATCAAAAACCCCTCATAAACCCTAAAAAAAAAAAAAACCAAATTAGGGACATAAAAATCGAACCTTTTCAAGATCATCTTGAATTTCCTGAAGCTTTTCAATGGAAAGTACAAGTTCGCTGTCGATCTGTTCAGCATTCGCCTCATCATTCTTGTCAGTAGCCTTCAATTTCTTCCCTTTGTCGGCCACCATTTTTTGTTGTTGATGCTGCAGCTGCTCACTTTCTCTCTCCTTCGAAAAACCCTAAAACTGGAAATCCTAAAACCCTAAAAACGGTTTATGCAGAGGCCCCCTCTTCAAAGAAAAGAACAGAACAGAGGAGAGAGAAACTGGGCAACAAAGTTAGAAATTAGGGTTTTTGTGCTCTGTTTAGCTTGAACCCTACCTAATGAAAAACTGACACGTGGTTAATCAAGGTTGTTTTTGTCATTTTGAAATGTTTTGGAGGTGATTTTGGGTGATTAAAAAAGAGTTTAGTCGCTAAAAAATTTTAGCCGTTGGGTGATTTATGGAAAATTTTTGACACTTTTTTTTTTTTTTTTTTAAGACCACCACAGGAAACTTAATTTATTAAATCAAGGTCCGTGTAAGCTTTTCCTCAAAGAGTTCGTACAAATAAATTCATCACTAGAACCCGTATCCCACCTAGCGGTTAGATGAGCAACCGTGTAATTCTTATTAATGCCTACACCCCCTCAACTAAATAACCATAGCCTTGTTTTAAAAAAATAAATAAAAAATAACCATATAGCCTTTACCCCCACTAAAAGATAAATTACAACCCACCCCCCACTAATCGCACAGTAATTACCCACTAACCATGGTAAGAGCAACTCCAACGGCAAGCTAATTGCCAAATTAGCTTGCCATGCCACCTAGGATTGCAAAGTTATTTTTCCATCTAGCTAATTTATGTCACAATGGTTAAGCTAATTAGCATTTAGATTTTTCAGCTTTATTTTTTAAATAATTAGTATTTTATTAGAGACAATTAATTTCTAAGCTAATTAGCTTAGCTAAGCTAATTTGCTTGGCATAAGCTTGGCCAAGCTAATTATTAAACTATCCTCCAATGGTTTGGCTATTAGCTTGAAAATTATTAAAATTGCAAGCTAATCCCTAAAGGCAACCATTGGAGTTGCTCTAACTTCAATTAACCACCCGTACGGCCTTACCCTACATATATATACATACAAAAAAAAAAAAAAAAAACTATGTCAAATCATTTTCTCTTTCTACAACATTCTTCTTCATCAATTTTTCTACACTTTCTCTCTCATCAAAACCAAAAAATCCGATTCGAATAATATCACTCTAAAATTACTCCAAATTACTTCAAAATACTTTAAATGTCTGACATTCGCGAAGAAATTCTTCAATTGCAACAACATTCCAAGAAAGAGTAAGTATTTTGTTCACAATTTTGTTATGTAAAAAAAATACAATTTTGTGTATAAACCTTAGCTTTTCAATTTTTATTTGATATTATATGTTCTGAAACATAATATGCTATTATTACAATTACTTTTATGTAAAAATGATTAAAATCTACTATGTTTTGTGCTATTTTTGAAAAATTTAGTTAATTTTATTATAGAATTTACAAATTTTGTATTACACATGTAAAAATCATAAGGAATTATGAAATTGTTCACCAATGAAAATTAAGTATAGAGTATAATTGTCCTAATTTTCTGAATTAGTTGAGTTTTCGTAGATTTACTGAGATTTAAATTAGTTTATATTGAAAATGACTTTTCGATATATGTTCATTTTCATGTTGATAAATGTTCATTATGATGTTAGTATGTGATCATTTACATTCGTACCTTAGATCTACTATAGGGTTTAGTCTTGAGATAAGATTACTCTAGTTTTATTTATGATCATTCGCATAATATGATGAATGTTTACTAGTATTTAAACAAATGTTATTTAAATTTAAATAGTTACATATTCATTCTCATATATATATATATATGTATATATATATATATATATATATATATATATATATGTATATATATATAATAGTTACATATTCATTCTCATTCTTGGTATTTTACACTAGGCGAAAATATGAATTGGCCACCGGTTCAAAACCCCCCAATGCCACCGGTTTTGAATCGGTGGTCACTTGGGGGGTGGCAATAATCTTCTAAAAAGCCACCGGTTCAAAACCGGTGGCAAAAACAAGTATTAACCGGTGGCAATAATGTCCTGCTTTTTTTTTTGGATATTACATATAAATGCCACCGGTTAACCGGTGGCAATAACATACATGATTGAATTTTTTTTTTATTTTGCTACAATTATAATGATAATAGTAATATAAAAAATTGTAGTTAAACTATCAGGCAAATACAATAGGAGAGCAATGAAATATAATTTCATTATATTCAACAATAACAGTAATTGTACAATACAAAAAAAAAATTACAATGAATTATAATAACAATGAAATTCAACTTCAAATTATTATTTTACAATACAAAATCAAAAAAAATATATAATAATAATTACAACATCAAAAACATTATTCCAAAATCAAAGTCTTGAATCTTGTTGCATCAATTAACACCTGCATCAATTAAAACCCAAAAATTAATAAACTCACAAAAAAATGCCTAATAAAAGCCAGAAAATTCGCCTAACAAAACATAGAATATCAGTTAACAAAATAAAACCCAGAAAATTCGCCTAATAATAATCGCATAAAAAAATTAATACGAAAAGGATGAAAATCCTAAAAAAAAAAAATTGTCTGTAGATCCGAAAAAACAAGAACTCTAGATTCAAAAAAAGTAATATGAAAATTAAAGGATGAAAACCCCAATAAATCAACTAAAATTAGTTTTAAAAAAAACCCAGAAAAAACCCACAAAAATAAAAACAAAAACCCCGAAATTGATTTTCATGAACTCAGAAAAAAAAACCCAGAATTAAAATCGAATTAAACCTAAGATATCGAATTAAAATCGAATAAAAAACTCAGAAAATTCGATTAAAAAAACCCAGAAAAAATCGATTTAAAAACCCAGATAAATTGGGTTTAAAAACCCAGAAAAACAAAGAAGAAATCGAATAAAATAGATTAAAATTAAATCAAATAAAGTTCGAATTAAAATCGAGTAAAACAGAATTAAAATCGAATTAAATTTTTTTTTAAAAATCGATTAAAATCAAACCCTAACCTCGATTAAAGTCGGTGTTGCTCATGCATGTGTTCGTGGTGTTATTGTAGCGGCGGTGGTGTTATTGTTGCGGGGGTGGTGGAAAAATTGGTGGTGGTGGTGGAGATCGAAGGAGAAGAGGTGATGGTGAGATCGAGGGAGAAGAAATGGTGGTGGAGATCGAGGGAGAAGAGATAATGGTGGAGATAGAAGGAGAAGAGGTGGTGGTGGTGGTGCAGATCGAAGGAGAAGACCGATTGAAGGAGATGAGAAAGAGAGGAGAGAGAAAGAGGAGGAGAGGGAAGAGGGGAGAGAGAAACGGCTGAGAGGAGAGAGAAAGAGGAGGAGAGGAGAGGGAAGAGGGGTTTATATGAAGAAGAAGGGCTGGGTTTTTTTTTAATCAAATATTGCCACCGGTTCAAAACCGGTGGCCTTAAACATTTTTGCCACTGGTTCGGTTTGAACCGGTGGCAATAATATTTGCCTTATACCCGCCCATTTTTTAAACCACCGGTTTATAAAAACCGGTGGCCTTTAAGCGGTGGCATTTTCAATTTTTCTACTAGTGTTACTGCCGTTTATGCTAGTCCGGCGACCAAAAGAACTGATCTTTGAAGAGAATTAAAAGACTTTGCGGCTACTCATAATAAACCTTGGATGTTAGCCGGGGATTTTAATGATACTCGTTTTAGTCACGAGAGAAGCTCTAGTTGTCCTGAAACCTCGAGGCGTGCGGCTAGATTTAATGAATGGGTTGAAGATATGGGCCTGCTAGAAATTGAATTCAGTGGCCCTAGTCACACGTGGGCAAGGGGAAATTCTGTTGATACTCGTACCAGTGCCAGACTTGACAGGGAATTATGTAATGGTAAGTGGAGTCTAAGGTTTGCAAATGCAGCAGCGAAAAATCTTCCAGCAGTCCAATCTGACCATTGTCCCCTATTGATTTCCCCGAATGGCTTTGATCCTATTTCCTCTATTAATAAGCCATTCAAGTTCCAGGAAGCTTGGCTTACTCATGAGCAGTTTCGGCCTTTTCTTGAGGAGAAGTGGGATAAGTCAGGGCCTCTTATTCCACAATTAAAAAGAGTAGCTTCGGATTTGCAGGAATGGAATAAAAACGTGTTCCATAATATTTTTAAGAAGAAACGAAATCTGGTAGCTCGAATTTCAGGGGTGCAAAAAAGTTTGGCAGAGCAAAAATCTCGTGACTTAATAAAACTTGAAGCCAAATTGCGTAAGGATCTTGATGAGGTACTCGAGCAAGAAGAATTACTTTGGTACCAAAAATCGAGGGTGGAATGGATTAGAGATGGGGATCGTAACACATCCTACTTCCATCTTAACACTATTGCAAGGAGATGGAGAAATAATATTACTGCTATTAAGGAGCATGCGAATGGAGATTGGCTTTATGAGAAGGAACAAATTCAAGATAATATTGTTTCTTATTTTAAAAATCTGTTTGCTGAAGAAGAATATCCCGTACACCTCCCTATGCCTACGGATATTTTTCCCGAGTTCACAAATAGAGATTGGGACATGCTCTCGTGGCCGTTTGCTAGATGTGAGGTAGAAAAAGTGGTTTTCGAGATGGGTGCTATGAAGGCTCCGGGACCGGATGGTTTTCAAGCTCTATTTTTTCAAAAACATTGGGACCTAGTGGCAGAAAATGTGTATAAGGTCGTTTTGGATGCTTTGAATGGAAAGGGCCTATCGGAAAATTTGAATGATACCTTCATTGTTCTTATCCCTAAAGTTGATAGTCCGGAGTTGGCTAATCAATTTTGCCCTATTAGTCTTTGTAATGTGGCATACAAAATTATTACGAAGACTATTGATTAGGGGATTTTGCTCCCACCAATCGGAATGCGCCACGTGGGCCAATCAGGTCCTGCCAAGTGTCCCCCAGTTGTACCTCTCAGGGCTTGCCACGTGGCACACGCTTATTCGTCCACCCTGGACCTATTATGTCATGACACGTGGCATACTTCATGCCTAATGGAGAAGTCGGCCACCTAGGCCCAACTTCCGAGGGAAGCCCAATCAGCCCAAGGTTAACCTAAACCTAGATTGGCACGTTTCCCGAGGTTATAAATACCTCCCTTAATCCTCATTAAGGGGGATTACGTAGATTACGCACATTAAACACTCTCACCTAGAGAGACCCAATCACTTTAATT